GTGTAAATCGTATTTAGAACAGAAGCGAGCAGTCGTGGGTAGGGTGCGTTTGAGCTGGGGTTAGTGCAGGCCTGGGAGGAAGTGGGACTTAGAGGGTGTTAGAAGCCGCAGTGTGTGCAGAAGTCTTAAAGATTGGACTGCTGCCCACATCAAGGTTAGTGGCTTCGCTTTCTTCTGGTCTCTGCACTGCGGGTGCCAGGCGAGCAGCCCTCCCCTCCTGTTCCTTGCCTTATGGTGCTGTTGCCGTAGCAGCCGACGTCTCCAATGCCGAGGTCGTCCGCCATCAGCAGAAGCATGTTCGGCCGGGAGCCGGGCATGTCGCCCCGAGCGGCAGGCGTCAAAGCCAGCAGCACCCCCAGGGCCACGGCCAGACAGCTCCTGAAATGCAAGCTTCCGAAGGCCACCTGTCATTCCTTTCCATCTCATTCCCAAAACTTCCCTAAGTGGGGAGCTGGCCTCGTCTCTCTTTTAGGGGACCTCGATGGTATTATTTTCACATGCTAGGATAGCCTTGCGTGCATCCCTTAGGCATTTGATCTATTTGGGTTTTGGTTTTAGTTTTTTTTTTTTTTTTGCAGGTTAAAAATAACAGTGCCTGTTTTTCTTTTTCTTTTTTTTTAGGAGATTCAAAAGATAAAATAAAGTTTGTTCAGTTCATTTCTAGAAATAAAGCAAAGCATTGAAAATATGACTAGGCATGGGCAATGTAAGTAACCTTATTAACACGTGTACCCCCATAATACGCTGAAATAAAAAAAAATTGAAAAAAAAAAAGAAAATATGACTAGGAAATAGAAGAAGTGAGAGACTACCAACAATAATAACTCAGTAGACAAGGTTAAATAACAAAAGAGAGAGGTAAACATATAATTTAGTGAATTGAAGGTTGGATACAAATAAATTACCCAAAATGCAGTGCCCAGAGAAAAAAGGTTGTAGAAAATAATATAAACGGGATCAAGAGCTGTGGAGGACAGAATAAGTAAGTCAAAAGTCTAGCACATGCCTGATCAGATTTATTTATTTGTTTATTTTTATTGTTATTATGTTTTTTCCGAGTTTTTCTTTGTGGAAAGGATTTAAACTTTATTTTTAAATTTTATTTTAGCGTATTATGGGGGTACAAGTGTTGAGGTTACATATATTGCCTGTTTTTCCATTCTTGAGATACATCACTTAGTAGAATGGGTTCCAGCTCCATCCAGGAAAGTGGTCTATGCACAGCGTGGAGTACTGCTCATCTATAAGGGACAACGGTGATCTAGCACCTCTTGTGTTATCCTGGATGGAGCTGGAGCCCATTCTACTAAGTATCCTGAGAATGGAAAACCAAGCTCCACATGGACTCACCAGCAAATTGGTATTAACAGATCAGCACCTAAGTGGACATATAGGAGTCACATCTATCGGGTGTCGGGCAGGTGAGGGGTGCAGGGATGGGCATATACATACATGGTGAGTGAGATGTGCACCAACCGGGGGATGGACTCGCTTGAAGCTCTGGCTCGAGGGGGCAGGGGGGGAAGGACGATTTATGTAACCTTAACATTTGTACCCCCATAACATGCAGGAAAAATAAATAAATAAAAAGTAACGCACACGGTGGATGGTCTTCTTTGGGCTTTAAGCATCTTATTTGGGAAGCTGTGGCCTCCGTTGTTAAGTGATCGTGCTGGGTGATTAACGGGAAGCCTTACTCGTGCCCACTTAGAAGGCGTGGATCGGTTGTGTAGAACAGCTACTGCTTGTTCTTCCTTAAGTAAGTAAACTGAGTCAGACTTGGGTGTTGGTGGCACCTTGTTGGGTGTTGGACCGCCCGGACGGAAGAGCACAGAACACGTACATGCTCTGGGTATGGTGAGACCACAGCGGGCCGGTCATTCCGAGTCCCTGCAGAGCCTCAGTGCATTCGAGCTTGAACGCAGACATCCCTAACCCTGACCTGTTTAGCCCACCGGGGTCTCATGAGAAGGGGGTCTTTCGAGGCGGTGGAGGGTCCAGCCTGCTGCGGAGACCCCTGGTGGTCGCATTCCAGGAAGAAGCCTTGCCACGAGGGCTTGGTGGCTTCCACCATGCCACCACTGTTGCTATTTTGTGTGTGTGTGTGTGTGTGTGTGTGTGTTTGTGTGGATGCTGCTGTGGGCATGCATGTATACAGCAGGCAAGTGGAGCCCCAGTCCCCCAGTATGATAAAGTAGAGATGTGATCTGAGCCTCCAAAAAGGTGTGCAAGACGGGGGCCTCGGAAAACCAGACAGGAAGATTTGCAACCACATAGGATGCCTTAATGCTTGAGGCTCGGGAGTGTGG